TCACATGTTTACTCTAGTGTACGTGCAAATCTAGTCGACAGGTTAATAATAATTAACTTGCCAATAATGTTTTTAGAAAGGTTCTTGAAATGCTAAAAATGCTTCTTTTTGCAAATGAGTCAGCTACCCTACTATAAAGCCCTTCATAATCCTTGGTGTCACTTATTTTTGGTTATGTCGGGTAAGTCTAGCTGAGTACCTTCTCGTACTCAGGGTTTTATTCCCACTTGTTGCAGATGGGCATATGTATTACGGCTACTGTATCAACTGCCTGTATCCTGCGATGGGTGATGCTTAGGACCATGGGCATGGTCATTCCTTATGTCTCGTCTGATGCTTTTGGATGGAGATGATCATTCGCTCGCACTATATTTGAACTCCGCGTGAGTGTGTGTGTGGTTTGAACAAATGGCTTCCGCTTCGAACTTGTTTTGTAATAACTATGTTGAAACTCTGATGTATATGAGATTGCGAACTTTTATGTAATATGTGACGGTGACCGCTAAACTTATTACGATCTTAGCCGGAATGGAAGTTGGTTTGAAATCCTTCGTGATTTCACGGACTACCGGGTTATACGGGCTTAAGTTTGCTAAATCGTCTGCTCTGGCGGATGATTTTCTTACTTAATTTCGTATAATTGGTCGGTTCTGTTACACTAACACCCTTGAAAATGTTTGTAAAAATATGCTAACACTTGTGCACAAGGTGATACACTTGGTGATGTTGGCACATTTACAAAGGAGGTGGTGTTTGCAGGGTTAAGATGGGTTTGGGTCCCTCTCTCTCTCCCGCGGAGCTTGCTCGGCGGGATTCGGCGCTTTCGAGAAAATGGAATGCCTATTTTTTATTGCGCCGGATGCAAATTCTTGTGGTTGGCACATTGGAGCAAGGGTGGAGAAGATAGAAGTGAGAACAGAGCTGATGCCAGCGTCGGTCCAGGACCGGACGCTGAATCCAGAAGCACCGGACGCTGACTGCCTGTGTCCGGTCATGTTGACTGTCGGTACAGTGGCTAGGGTTTACCACCGGACGCTGGGCTGTGTCCGATCGAGGTGGACCGAACGCGTCCGGTCGAGGAAAACCAGGTTTTGACCCTTACTGTACTCGACCGGACGCTGAGGTTCCAGCGTCCGGTCAGTTTTAACCGGAGCGTCCGGTCAGCGTCATAGCCGTTGGAATCTGACGAACAGCGTTTGAAGCCGATGTCACGTGGCGTCCATCTGTGGACCGGACACTGAGTCCAGGGTCCAGTCAAGTGGACCGGAGCGTCCGGTCAGAGTGCAGAGTACCCAGTGAAGGGGTACAACGGCTCTATTTCGTGGGGGCTTCTATTTAAGCCCCATGGCAGGCTGTGGCTCACATCTTTGGCCATTTCTACTGACATAGCATACTTGTGAGCTTAGCCAAAGCCCTCCCACTCATCTACATCATTGATTCATCATTATAGTGAGATTGGGAGTGAATCCAAGTGCATTGCTTGAGTGATTGCATCTAGAGGCACTTGGTGATTGTGTTTCGCTGCGGATTTCGCTTGTTACTCTTGGTGGTTGCCGCCACCTAGACGGCTTGGAGCAGCAAGGATTGTTGAGTGGAGGAGGTGATTGTCTTCGACTCCGATCGTGGTGATTGTGAGGGGTTCTTGACCTTTCCCCGGTGGAGCGCCAAAAGGTACTCTAGTAAATTGCTTGTGGCTTGTGTGATCCTCATCTTGTGTTGGTTGTGCGGCACCCTATTAAGGGTTTGGCGAGTGATGCCAATCAGCGCGTGAACCTCCAAGTGAGTGAATCGCCACAACGAGGACTAGCTTGCCGGCAAGCAAGTGAACCTCGGTAAAAATCATTGTGTTCATCATTTGATTCCGAGGTGATTGGTCTACATTGGTATTCATTATTGTGATTGATTGGTTCCTACCACTACACAGCGGTATAACTCTCTTGCTCACTCTTATATTACCGCAAACTAGTTATCAAGCTCTTTAGTGTAGCTAGTTGTGAGAGCTTGCTTGTTTGATTAGTGTTGCTCTTTAGTTAGTCTTTGAGAGCACACTAATTTAGCTAAGTGTTATAGCTATTGTGTGGATATACACTATTCGAAATAGAATTGTGGTAGGTGGCTTGCATTTTAGTAGGCTAGCGCAACACTCGCTTCGCCGTAAAATTATCTAACATATTTTGTTAAGTGTTGTTGTAGATTTTTATTAGGCTATTCACCCCCCCTCTAGCCATTAGGACCTTTCAGAGGTACAAGAGGTCCAGTCGGACTCTGGTCAGAGGGGCCGAGAGCGATGGGAGCTCCGCTATGTGCTATGTGTTCGAGCGTGTGCTCGAGGTTTGAACCTGGTGGTTCTGTTGTTGTGTACTAGTGAACTTGGTCGATCTGAATCAACTTATCTATTGGGACTTAGGAGAGAGCGTATCCCCTTTTATAGATGAAGGGGATGGCCTTACAAGTGAGAGGAAGAGAGTACGTATGCTACTAAGTCTTGTTGCCCACGCCGACGGGAACAGGATGATGGTAGGCGCCCATAATACTGTTGAATGTCAGATGCATGTGGGAGGTTGCGTCGTCTTCTTCTGGTATGGCGGATGTTGGTGCCTGCCATACTGTTGATGCCGAGAGGTATACAGGGGGTTTTACCATGTTCGTCTGGCACGGTAAATGCCGACGCCCACAACACTGTCGATGCCTCAGAGGCACGTGGAGGTGGCTTACCATATTTGTCTGTTATGGGAGTTGATGGTGCCCACAATACTGTAGGGGAAAATATCGGCACCTACAACACTGCTTGCGTCCTATCATGTCAGGGAGGTCGCAAGGTACTGTCCTGCAGGTGTATATGGTACGGTCCTCGGTATTGCGGTTGACTTGAGTGTGCTGACTTACTTTGTCCGCCTATTTCGTGGTCCTTTCCGAGCGGGCGTCCCCGGTCGGTTGGTCCCAGTCGGCTCTGATTGCGCTAGCTAGAGAGGAGTTGTAAGCAGGGATTTAGCGCATTCTCGGTCAGAGAAGCGGGTCGGAGTCGAAAGTGGTGTTTGGCTAGGCCTTCCGGTCGGAGAGGCCGTCCGAAGGCGGGCTGGAGACCGAAGCGAGCGCTCCGGTCGGAGAGGTGGGCCGGAGTCGGAAGCGGGTGCCGTTCCTCCTCGGCCAGGCCTTCCGATCGGAGATTAGATCGTTCTTCTGGCCTGCTGTCCAGGTATTTGGGCCGGCCTATGCGTTGCGCGTTGCTCGCAACGTTGTCTGTTGGACCGAGCCTTTGTTGGGAAGCCGGTCCATGAGGGATCCCGGGTTTATGAACCCGACAGGAGCCCCCGAGCCCTCGGACGATTCGGGTAGAATCGTTTGGGAGATTTTTATCTCGACGGCGGGTGCGAGCGAGCGCACCCGCGGGTGTAGCCCCCGAGCCCCCGGGCGATTCGGGCAGAATCGTCTGGGGGTTTTTTCGTGTTGCCAGCGGGGGAATTTTTTGTTTTGTCAGTGGGTGCGCGCGAGCGCACCCGCGGGTGTAGCCTCCGAGCCCCCGGACGATTTGGGCAGAATCGTCTGGGGGATTTTGTCAGCGGGCGTGTGTGCATGCATTTTAGTCGAGACGGAGTTGTCAACCAAGGTGCCGTGCGCAGCCGAGGTAGTTTTTTAGGAATCCCCGCGCAGCCGAGGTAGTTAGTTTTAGTGATCGGGCGAGACGGTGCTCGCGGATCCTGGCCTCGGTGCAGCCCGCGCAGCCGAGGCAGTTAGTTTAGGGATCGGGCGAGTCGGAGCTCGCGTATCCTGGCCTTGGTGCAGCCCGCGCAACCGAGACAGTTAGTTTAAGGATCGGGCGAGTCGAAGCTCGCGTATCCTAGCCTCGGTGCAGCCCGCGCCGCCGAGACCATTTAGTATTGTAGCTTTAGTGCTCGATTAGACTCCGTTCATCTGAAGTATCGGCTGCATCGACCAAGGTCACCGGAAACGAGGATAATGAAATCAAGATAGAATATTAGAATATTGTTTTTTCAAAAAATTTCTCATATATAATTTTGCTATCCCTGTACCAAGTTTTCATATAATTCCTCCCCACACACAAAAATCAAAACACTGGCTGTGGTGCAAGGGCAATTTGTTTGGGCTAGTATTCCATCGACAGCACGTGATATGCACTGGGCACCGCTCGGGCCACATGGACCGGTGCCCTGATCCAAGGACTGCTGCGCTGCGTTCCGATCGTAAAACCGTCTTCTCATATCCCCGCAACTTGACGCCACGTACGACAAGCGTAACACAAAAAAATTTAATTTCCGAGCGGCACGTCAGGGTACCATTGACCGGCCAATAGGAATGGCTCGCGGTATGGCATGGCTTCCCCTATCTCTTTTTTCCTGACACCGAAAAAGAAATCAGGTTTTGGAGATGCTTCCAAAACTGCAGCAGGGCTTGTCCGCCGGCCGGGGGGGACCTTTCCAGAAATGCACGAGGAGAGGAGGAGACGGGGCAGTGGGTGTGGAAAGAAAAATGAATGAAAACATCGATCCCGTTCCCGTCCGTGTACTGCTCCAAGAAGAAAAGAAGAAAAGCTCGCTTTGGAGGGGTGAAATGGCGGACGGGGTTAAAAGGGGATCCTGAAGAAACCGAGAAAACGAACGGTTGGATGGCTCGACGACGCTGGGGCGCTCGCTGGCGGAAGTGTCACGGGTCTGCCTTGAAAGCTGCATCTCCAAACTTCCAATCCCTCTCTCCAAAACACCCAGACAGACAGAGCGACACATATTCCCTCCCACCACCCCCACCGCCCACACGCTCCCCGAGGCAGGAGCACACCACGCTTGCCTCCTTCACTCGTCCACTCCCTCTCTTCCCTCCGTATTCACAGCCACCGGCACCACCACCTCCAGTTAAAAATAGCCGGGTCACCCGCTCCGCTCGCCTCGTATCGTCCACCTCACCTCAGAAGGAAGGAGAAGTTAAAACCCCAACCCAAGAAACCTTCGTCGACGCTTCGACTCCTGTAGGAAGGAGGGAGAGAGATGGAGAGGTGCGGGAGCTGGGACTGCGACGCCGCGGCGGCGCAGGCGGCAGCGCAGAAGGCGGTGCCGGCGCCGTTCCTGACCAAGACGTACCAGCTGGTGGACGACCCGGCCACGGACCACATCGTCTCCTGGGGGGACGACCGGGTCTCCACCTTCGTCGTCTGGCGGCCGCCGGAGTTCGCACGCGACATCCTCCCCAACTACTTCAAGCACAACAACTTCTCCTCTTTCGTCCGGCAGCTCAACACATACGTGAGTCGCACTTCGCTTTGATTGAGCTACGAAGTGTTGGGTGTGGTTTCTGCGCGGACTGATAATGGTGACGGTGATGTTGCAATGCACAATGCAGGGCTTCCGGAAGGTCGTTCCGGAGCGGTGGGAGTTCGCGAACGAGTTCTTCCGCAAGGGGGAGAAGCAGCTGTTCTGCGAGATCCACCGGCGCAAGACGTCGACGTCCACGGCGTCGCCGTCGCCTCCGCCCTTCTTCGCGCCGCCTCATCACTTCCCCCTCTTCCACCCGGGCGCCCCGCACCACCACCACCAGTTCGACGACGGGGTCGTGGCGGCGGCCGCGCACGGCGTTGGCCTCGCGTTCCCGCACCCGCATTGGAGGGAGCCGCCGCACGCCGCCGCGCCGGTGGCCGCCACGCGGCTCCTAGCCCTGCCCGCCGCCGACGCGGCGGCGGCGGCGGAGGCAACAACGCGGGGGGCGCGGCCGTGCTGATGGAGGAGAACGAGCGGTTGCGGCGCAGCAACACGGCGCTGCTGCAGGAGCTGGCGCACATGCGCAAGCTCTACAACGACATCATCTACTTCGTGCAGAACCACGTGCGCCCCGTGGCGCCCAGCCCGGCCGCGGCCGCGTTCCTGCAGGGGCTCGGCCTGCAGGCCGCGCGCAAGAAGCCCACCGCCGCCGCCCCCGTGTCGGCCGCGGGGCTCAACCATTCCGGCGGGAGCACCACGTCCAGCAGCTCGCTCACCATCGCGGAGGAGCCCTCGCCCCCGCCGCCGCAGCAGGCCGACAAGAGCGGCGGCGGCGGGGAGGCCGGGAGCAGCGGCACCGCGCGGTCTGCCGCCGCCGCTGCGCCGCCTACCATGCTCTTCGGCGTGCACCTCAGCGCCGCCCCGAGCGGCACGGGCACCAAGAGGCCGGCTTCCCCGGAAGAAGCAGACCAGCCGCCCACGTCGGCTGCTACCAGGAAGCCAAGGCTGACGCTGGAGGGCGCCGACCTAAGCCTGACCGTCGCGGTGCCCTCCGCCGCCTCGTCCCCAGCTAGCACTAGCTAGTCGGCTAGCTAGCTCAAGCTCACTCACCTGGCGCGCAAGCAGATGCGTTGCATGCAACGGCGGGGGCGGCCGTTTTGTTGTTCTAGCTCTAGTTCGATCGACGTGTTCCGTTTCAACTGGTAGATCAGATCAGATGGTGGGTTCTTTCGTTGATGTGTCTAGTAGCGTCTTTCGGTGATTTAGGGTTCCTGCTAGACGTCGTCCACTAATTGCACTGCTGTGCCCAAGCGCTAGCAACTGGTGCCATTGATCCTCCGCTCCGGTGAACTAATCCAAGCCATGCAGGTTTTTGTACAGAAGTAGTCGTAGTCAGTTAACTCGTCGAGCGTGAAGTACTCGTAGTAGGTCCTAGCAGCAGCAGCTCAGGTAGCTAGCTATTCTGACGAGTGACGATGCAGCTGCTAGCTATTCTTCTGGAATTCTGATGTTTGCAGCCGAGCCAGGGCGAGCAATCTTTTGGGCGACGAGTCCGGAAACAGATCTCTCTTTCATTTATTAAACCGCTTTCCTGAGCCTGTTTCAGCGTGCGTTTCTCCCTCCTCGTTACGGTTACCTTTTGCGTGCGCTCATGGGAGTCAAAGATGTGAAAGGCAGTTACAGCTGCGCGCCTGCGCAGGGGCTTTGGACATTGCTCGCAACATGCCACAAAGTGACGGGTCGATCGGACTGCACACCGACCGAGAGAGTTCATGTTGGGTTGAGCGCGACGCCGATGCGTGCCTACAGTCACGTTTCCGGACTGCCGCGGCCGCAGCACAGTAGGAGTACACTGGGTACTCTCCTACTACTCCCACGCAGTCATCAGCTAGTGGTAGCCCTAGCTAGCTCTAGCTACCTGTAGCTATTCGTGAGTAGCTGCAGTAGACTGTCCGTGCGGGAGAACCGAGAGAAGGGCAGCGCGTCATGATTCGGCGACTGGCGCCAGATCTTCAGAGCGAGGGTCTAATCCGGAGCCGGAAGCGTAAAGACCGGGCAAGAGATCTCGGCCGGCTATAGCTTCGGCTCTTCGCTTCGCTTCTCTCCGGGAGTCCGGGTGGGTGGTGTGGTGCCTTGCGAACGAGTGGGATCGGATGGCTTGAATGCAGCTGCTGCCTGCGTCATGTGGTGTGTAGGGTTCCGTGTAGGGGGTGGGGCAGTGGGCTGGCTGGGCATTGGGCTCTGTTTCTTCTACCGTGCGACTGCTGCCTGTGCATGGCTGCACTGCTGCAAGCTCCAGCACGAGCAGGCACCAGGCAGCCAGCCCCGCGGGGTTCCGACGATATTCCAAATATCCAAAAGGGACTCTGACCGCCTTCCGTTCCCTCGGAACGTGATAGTTCTGCCAGATTCCCCCGGTACGCAGCATACAGGCCCAGGCCCCACATGTCTACGCACCCCTCCTTTCAGTCTTCTCGCACCAATTTCCTTGTTTTAATTTAATCTAACACCATTTACATTTAACGCTGATATTTGCGGATAGACACCACTACTTGATCTTGTTTGCTATAAGATATTTTTTAATTATAGTAATTACCTTAGGTACTACAACTATTAAAGTAATAATTTTTATTAGTGAAGAGCAGAGAAGTTAAAAGTGACTATTATGTCTCTGGCTATTGTACCTAACCCTTAATAGCAGTGGTATAGCTTCATGGCAAATGTAAGAGTAGACAAGCTATGTAAATTATTCTGTGTTAAACAAATTTTGCTCCTTAAACTCAAGTGATTCCTTAGGAGGTATGAAGATCAAGGAGGGGGCATGGCCCCCTTTGGTCTGGTTTAAGCTCCGCCCCTGCTTAATAGTTATAAAAATTATAACTTTTGCATCAGCTTCCCCGATACCTATAGCACCACTAGCCTTAAAAGTGTATAAAAACTAGTGTTTACGGTCGTAAACTTCTTCGTCGAGCATATAAACCTCTAAGCAAAGAGGTGAACAAAAACTATCTACTCTCACCTACCACCTTATGCATGCATGCAAACCCATTTAAATCCAATCCAAATTTTAGTGATAATTATTCACTAGAACATCAACTAAGAACAATTTTACCACAAGATTGTAGATATTTTTGTGTAAAATTTGAAATCATTTGTGAATATACTCTTTTAAAACTTTTTAGATTCATAAATTTACACTTTTGAGAGAGTTCTATTAAGCATTTCTTTAGTATAGAATTCCACAAACGTGGGTATAGAAAATACCAGGTCATTCTCAACTCCTCATCCTCTTAATTTTGAATCCAAACCAATAAATAGGGTTGGTTACGAGTATAAATATAAGTCTTCGTTGTCCATTTGTGTAGGCGTGAAGTTTGAAGTTTTAATGTAACAGAAAAGAACTAAAAGTTATATGGCCATGTGGGTGAGTCTTTATAGAATTATACTGGCCTATTATTGGGTTTTCATGCTTGAGTAACACGTTTTTTTATGATCACAGTTGTATTAAGGGAGACATGGTCACCATTCAATTTCGGATCTTAGGGAAAAAGAGCACACATCAATACTTCTATGCCTGCATTTGTGGTGTTTTATACTAAAAACACTTGGGCCCTAAAACTTTACAATGACCATGACTATGTTGAATCATGATGTTACCAAATGATTTTATTCATTTTTTTCTTATAAAAGTGCATGATTTTGTGATGAAGCTAGAATTGATTTCTTGTGTATATAAACTTATCTAGGGAATAATTAACTATATTGGCAATAGAAAAGAATAGTTATATATGACTGCATCTATGTGTTCCTATTCTACCTTGGTTGCTAGTTTTATAATTAGGTAATGCCATTTCTACGATAACACCTCTACTGTATGTGGAATCACACAAACTTGTCATGATTCCAATTTTCTAAAAGTGCATCCGGGCCGCCTAGTGGGTTTTGGTGGTTGAATAACAAAACAATTAAGGACTAATGAGTTTGATGAGTTTTTGAATTCGTTTCATTACAAATATTCATATCAAACACATGTCATATCGCAAATGAAGAAGCAAGAATATTTGATAAGGCAAAAAGAGAAAAAGCGGGGTGAAAAGTTGAGTGTGTTGACAAGTCCTGAACCCAAGTTCCTTGACAGAAAAACTTGTCACAACACTTGCACATGGTGGCATTGGAATTTTTTTTAGTTGGGATGAACAACCCTCAAAATAAGCTTTCCATAGAGTCCAAGATCACTGAAATCATAGTTTGGAATGAAAAGTTATACTCCTTTCATTTCAAGTTATAAGATGTTTTAGCTTTTATAGATTCATTCATTGTTTTACTATATGTATCTAAATATGGTGTATATTAAGTGCATAGCCAAAGCTACGTGGTAACAGGACGTAAAATTTATTTACTAAACAACGCTCGAACTGGTTTTGGAGTTCTATCAGTGTTCTGTGTACACTTTGATGCAGTGCGCGCACCAGTTTCCTGTTCCATCCAACAAGGTCCCTGGCCGGAGACAGCGACCAAGACAAAATTATTTAATGCGTAAACAAATCTAGATCACCCCGATTTGGCCCCGCCCAGCCCCCTTACCCCACCAGTCAGCCTGCCTGCCTCAGAGAAGATGCTCTCTGGCACACGGAGTGAACTGGTCTGGTGGCGGGTCCTCCTCTTCGCAGTTCCCAGAGACCAGAAGCTGAAGAGGACGGAACAATCAACGGCCGCGATTCCAAGGCCGTTGCCATGAGAAGAACTCGAAGAAGGGCTCTCTGCCCTGTGGCAACCACTTCTCATAATGCCTAGCACTGACTAGCCCAGTAGCCAATAATAAAGGCATGAGAGCACGGGAACCGAGACAGTTCCGACCATCCTTGTTTTTACTCCCTCCACCAAAGAATACACTACTCGTATAAGATTAGATAGATACTAGCTTCATTTTAACCAAATTTATAATAATTAATTACTCCCGTGTGCACAAAGAAAGGGGAGAGTAATACTAACATTTCATAGGATGAAAAGATAGATGGTGAAAATTTCAGAGGATGAAATGAGTTCCATAGAAATTAAACTTGTCTACACCGTTTCTAACACACGAGAGTCTTGCAGCTTCGGCTATTTGGCATAAAACTCCTATAAGGTACCGAGGGGCTATTTGGCGCAGCTTCTTGCTGCTCTGCACACTGTAGCACGGGCAGGTGGAGCTACAAATCGTAGCTCCGCTGAACAGTAGGGCTACCGTGAACTGGAGGAGCTGAAGCCTTCAAGAGCCGTAGCAAAGAGGGCCTAAGGGCGCGTTTAAATCTAAATTTTTTTGGATTTTGGCTACTATAGCACTTTCGTTTGTATTTGACAATTAGTGTCTAATTATGGACTAATTAGGTTCGAAAGTTTCGTTTCGCGATTTCTCACCCAACTGTGCAATTAATTTTTTTTCGTCTACATTTAATACTCTATGCATGTGCCGTAAGATTCGATGTGATGGATACTGCGCAAATTTTTTTGGGTTTTGGAGGAACTAAACATGCCCTAAATAAATGGTCAAAGTTTAATTTAGGAAACCGTGTCCAAAACGTGCCTTATAAATAGGAGTTTTTATCTATTACGACTACTCAGTGGGTTCACATTTGAGTGGTAACATTTGCTATAGGTTACAGTAAATTTTGCTTAGCCAAACTTCATCACATGGACATATCCTAGCAATTTGGTGTGTGCTAAACACTAATCCCTTTGTCAGCTTCGCCTTGGCTTTGTACCTCTGGGTTATGTCCATACCATCTCCCCACCTTTTCGCCGTAGCTGGCCTGCTGGTGTGAGTAGGAGCACGCAGCTTGGGCAGGCATGGCAGGGTCAGTGATCTTTGACCAGCCAGGCTTGCCGGAAGCTCGAGCGGGCTACAGTACCTGACCGCGGGCTGAGTGCATAGCTGGCGCATCGGCATGGTACTGTAGCGTCCATGCGCAGCCCAAAAGATGGGTGGATCTGATCAGGATCTCTGAACACAGGTAAAGCTGCTGCCATAGCCAAGGCCAGCCGTGGAGCTGTGGGTAGCTCTTGGACTGGTAGCCGTTTGATCTAGAGGCTGGGCGCAGCCGCGCAGGATCGCAGACCTGCATCTCTGTGACCCTGTGCCTGTGCGTCTCCTGATCGATGATAGAGGAGGCGGCGATCGAGGCCTATCCGAGAGGTTTGCGGCCGGCTGGCCGGTGCAGCCGTGCAGGGCACATCAGTCGTGCAGTACGAGCAAAGTACAATGGTTCTACTGCTCTTCAAGTGGTCCGCCGAGATGCCGATTTGATCTCTCGTACGTGCAGACGTGCTGGGGCTTGTGCGTGCGACCAATCCTCCGGTCGAGGCGCGGCGCTACTGCTACCCCGATGGCCACGATCGATCGCCGTCTTTCTCACAACGTCTCGTGCTCAGCGGGTCCGGGGTCTGCTGCGGTAGTCTAGTCGTGTGCATGCAAGTGCAAAGCAAATCCCTTCACAGCGCCAGCCAGGTTGATCAGAAATGGAACCGACACCCTCCCACGCAGATAGAGTAGTTTAATGCATTATTTACAGCTCGGATCGGTTGCTTCTTGAACTAGAGGAAACAAAACAAATCCGTTAAAAAATCATTGTCAGTTCGATAAGCATGCATGCATGGAGCCACGGCCCATGGCCCATGGACCCAGCCGAGTCCTGCAATTACCTCCAACGCTGTACTAACGCTGTTCTGCAGGATCTCCCATACAGGGGCAGGCCAGTCTCCGCTCTCGCAGATCCACAGGTCTCTCTTCCTCTGTCTCTTAAGACTGTTCAGCGAATCTCTAAACAGCGAACGTGCTCAACGCGGCAGCCCAGTGATTGCAATATTACAAGGGGCGTTTGCCATGAAAAAAAGAAGGCTCTCCCCTCATGCTTTGACATGTGAGGGTCTGAAGGACTGCTATTATTGCAGTAGACTACCATCTTTCGGCGAATCCCATCCGCAGTGACTAAAAAACCGCTTTGCCTGACCGCGCACGGTGTCACTCAAAAGCGCGGGCCGGTTCATTAGGCTTTGACCGTGACTGCGTCCGAGTGGTGGGCGTGTCAGTCCCTCCCTCGTGCATTGCTGCCCGCCTTTCCTACACTTGGTTGGTTGGCTGGCAATGGCAGCCCTAGCGCCATGCATGCCTTTCGAGTCTTTTTGAGCAATCTTTCTTTCTTTCTTTCTCCTTGCCGCTTTTTTTTGCTTGTGTCTGCGGGTGAGAGGTGAGGAGGCCGTGAGGGAGCGAGAAAGGGCCAAAGGGGACCGGCGCTCCTCCTTCGTTCAAAGCCGAAAGGTACTGCTCCAGAACCAGAAGGTTGCTATAAAAATAAAAATGAAAAGTCAATCACAGCGCAGGGAAAAGCAAGGCCTCCTCCGTCCATCGCCGGCGTCGGATATTCGGATGCAACTTCTCTACATGCAATAGCAGTGGATGAGGCAGTACTGTATGACTGCTTTTGTTTTTCTAATAACTAAAGCGCCAACCGCAAGCGTCCACGTCCTTCACTGGTCACATATAAGGACAAGAATTTTGGTTAAAAAACATTTACTCTTGTAATACTGTACTGTTCCTTCCGTAAAAGAAAAACAGAGTTGTCGGAGGCCGACGACGATGAGGACGAGGATGAACTCATGGCGGCGTCGGGGTGTTAGGATGAGGCAGCGGAGAGTTAGGATCGTGGAACGGCTGATACCATGTAATAACTGAAGAGAACAATGCAGACAACTGAAGTTGTATTGATCAGGGCTTACGCCTCTTATACATGTACATCACGGCAGTCGGATAACTAACAATAGCTAGACTCAAGGAGAGCCAAGGACCGTGCTAACAAAGTATAGTACAGGTCGCTAACAAAAATCATAGCTCTTATCAAGTCATCTATCTCAACTTGAACTAAATAGGTCAAAATAGTAATATTATTTATGATATCAAATAGCTATAATTAGAGTCATCATAAAATATATATCTTTATAATATGTCTACTTAAAGTTATAAATGTTAATATCATTTTCTATAAACTTAGCTAAACTTAAGTAAAATTTCTATATATATTGAACGTTGAAGGGAGGGAGCAGTGGGTCGCAACTCGCAAGATGGACTTGAATTTGAATCTCACCGAGTAGTACAATCGCAGCCCCCCCGCGTGGCTGCCTCCTGCAAGTCTGCAACAGATTGATATGATATGCATGGCCCCTGCCAGCCCGGGCCAGCCGACCAGCCCCAGCGGCGTCCGTCACTGTGGCAAAGCATCTCGAGTGTGATGATGAGATATGATAAGACGCGGCTCGCGACTGGCGCCGGACCGGACCATTGATGCGGATGCGGCGCCTTCAATGGCGTAACGCCGGCCGGACCGAACGCCGCCTTCCTCCTGATTTGCTCGGCCGCCGGATGGCGCGGCGCGCTGGTCGGAGTCCCGATGCGGGCTGCGGCGACTAGGTTGTGCGAGCGGCCCACAAACCTGTCTTGGGCCAACTCTCCGCTGCGGCGCTCCCTCTGTGGTTGTAGGCCATGAAGAGCCATCACTAAGTTCTGCCAGCGGCCCACTATCCTGCCTTGGCCCAACTCTCCGAACCGGAACTGTTCGAGTCCAAACGGACCCCGTTTCCTGATCCGAAACGAATACGTCTTCAGGCCCGAGCCGGCCCACTCACTATAAATGTGTGAGGCGTCGCCGTGTCCAACACAAAAAGGAGGCACACCTGTCTCTCCTTCGTAGACATCACCACCGCCTATTCGTCAGCGCCGTGAGTTCGTCGGCCGTCGTCGGGATGGCGGGAGACCACGAGGAGGAGGAGTACCCGATCGGGTTCCGGTTCAAGCCCAAGGACGAGGAACTCGTCGAGTACTATCTCGTCCCCAGGCTGAGGCGCCAGCCGACCGTGCCCAACGACTGCATCACCGAGTGCGACGTCTACTTGTGCCACCCAGACATGCTCACCAAAGGTAGGCTATTTGTAGCTGTTGATTGATGCGATTTGTTTCTCGCTTTGCTGAGATGTTATCTTTTTGTTTGCGTACGTGACCTCATGGCATGCATTGTGGTGGCCATCATATGGCACTGGCAGAGCACAAGGGCGTGGACCAGGAGGAGTGGTACTTCCTGTCGCCGAGGTCTCGCATGTACGGGAACGGCGTGAGGCCGGCGCGCAAGACGCGGGACGGCCGCGGGCGCTGGAAGGCGTCCACGGCCTCCAAGGAGGTGGAACAGAAGGTGGTCTGCAACGGCATCACCTTCTGCAGGAGCGTGCTCAACTACTTCGAGGGCGTCCCCAAGAAGGAGGTGAGGACCAAGTGGATCATGCTCGAGCTCAAGGTCCCGTGCTTCGAGATCAAGCTCGACAAGGCCGGCCCAAAGAACATGGTGAATCTCTCTTTCTACTATTTTTTTTTCATTTGATTCTGTAGGCGCCTATATATATGTGCTCTGATCGCTAATAATAAGCTAACTGCCTGCAGTTGGACGAGTACGTCGTGTGCAAGATCTACGTGTCCCCACAGCACAAAAAGAAGGCTGACGCCGACGAGGAAGGCACCAGCTCCGCGTGTGAGGGCAACGACGGCGACGAAGAAGCGTGCTCCCCCACGCAGCACGGCCAAGGCACGGCGGGCTCCATCTTTTCAGAGAAACAAGCCGGCAAGCGGCCCATGCTCGAGAAGGTCCGTCCAGGGACCCTAGGCAGTAGTGCATCCACACAAGCGATGAGCTGCTCCACCAGCAATGCCCCCAGGACGGAAGCGTACTACGGTGTACCAGGTCAGCCAACGGGTGCACACAGTAGGCAGGCACCACAGATGGCGCAGCGGCAGACGGCGGGCGCGTTCAACGGCCAGAGACTTGTGCAGCAGCAGCCAACACAACAAACACCGGTACTATACCAGCCCTTCACGGATGCGAGAGATCACCGCTTCGGCCAGACGACGGCAACGATGACGACGCGGTCTCCATCCCTGGAGAACCTAGGCGTCCCGGGGAACCCACCGCGGCGACACCCAGCGACGGCGTTCAGGCCGCAGGTGTCCCTGCAGTGCTACTACGACCAGAACTACCGAGGCGTGAAGCCGCCGGGCAACGCGTCCTCGTCGCAGCCGCAGATGCTGGCGGCGTCGTCGTTCCTGCCGCGGCAGCAGCCGTTCTTCAACGGCGACGCCAACCGTCGCGGGGCAGCCGCCGCCCCTGGGGGCACGCCTTATGGCAGTTACCCTTACCAGAGCAGGGCGTTGACCTTGGAGGCGGCTGGTCACGATGGAGCAGCAAGCGGGGGGAATGGCGCGCCGCGCTGCTTGAACGTAAACGACGAGCAATTTTTTGTGGATCTGGCCATGATCACGAGTAACCCGTCCCTGAGCGGAGCGCGTACGCAGACGGCACCGGCGCCGGCCCGCCTGGTGGAATCACAACCGCCGCCGGCGGGCAGTGCTGTGAAAGTTGAAACCGAGACGGGAGAAACGTCTGGTTTGAACAAGAAAGATGCTGTGTAGTTCTGCATTATTTCTGTCACTTTTCTGAATCTGTACTACTAGTACTAACCTGTTCCACATTGCAAAACGCACGTCTGCTACCTAGCACATTTCACTAGTTTCATAAAAAAAACTCATGATGCGTTTTTCTGGTCTGAGTCCAACATCTTGGCTGGAATTTAGGCCCGAGCACACCCAGTAGACGCGTTAGGTAGGGATTTGGGTCATATATAAGACGGTCTCCAACGGCGTATCCATCACGGCACCCAAACCTAAATATACGTCGTCCGGTGAAAAAACGATGGTCCAACAGATTACCCAAAACAAAGACGCAGTTTGCGTCGGAGTCCAGCGGCAACCCAAATATGCCTTTCTCTCTCTCCTCGACCCAATTCTCTGCGGCGCGCGAGCTCGGCCTCGGTGACTTCGGCATCGCGGGCCCCCTCCCTCGAGAAGCTCCTCGCGCTCATGCTCGGCGCGCGCTTGGCTGGGCTCAATAAGCCGCGCGCTCCCGCTGCCGCAGCGCCCATGGAGGTCACGCCCGCCGGGTCTCTGGGCTGGGACGCCAGACGTCAGACGCTGTGAGCCGATCTTGCCTGGCTGCCGCCCAAGGGCGCGCGCTTCAAAGGTGCTCGCCGGGGAGGAGGTCGCGGCGGAGGGCATTTTCTTCTTGAGCGTCGCGGCGGCGAGGGGTGGCGCATGGAGTGCCTCCGGCGCCGGGTCTCGACCTCGGCGTCCGTGTGCGTGGCGGAGGTCGTGGTGCTCATGGGAGGGCGGCGTCTTGATGCAAGAGGTGGAGAGGCGCCTGGAGGAGTCTTGCGGCGCTTGGCGAGCGAGGCAGACAGCGGCGATGAGTCGCCGGCGCGGTGAGTCGGGTCCACGGCACTCGGCGGGGCTGGGTGGGCGCCATTCTGTTTCTCTTTTGCGTCCTCGGTTGGAAAATGGGAGTTTTGGCTGCCTATCCATTCTACTGTGCGCGACCCAATCTACCAAATGTGTCTCACATTTAGGTTGGCGCCGTTGGAGACAATCTAATATTGAAATCTGAGCTTGGCCCAATGGTTGCAATGGGCTGGATATTGAACTTTAAACATGTTCATAAGCTGGTTGTAAAATTTACAGCCTGCTCCTCTGCTATCTCCTTCACCTTAACACAAACGCAATCTCTTTGACGCGATGGATCGTGCTAGGAGCCAAACGCGCGACACGGGCCGGCCCATGCGCCCATGCCTGCGCCCCACTGGAGACGAAGAAGAAGACGGCGGCGGCTCCGGTTCTGGTAGCGGCGGGGTTAGGGGATTGTTCTCCGCAAACTTAGAAGGAGTTTTTTTTGGGGGGGGGGGGCTATGACACAACAGCAGTGGGAGAAGGCGGTTTAGCGGGGCTGGCGGTAGGGGCGTCGTGGCGGAGGTCGGCGGCGACCTTCCCTCGGATTTGGGGAGAGCGAGGTCGAGGGGCAAGGGCGGGGTGTGGGTGAGAACGAGGAGGACGCCGCGCCCTGTGTTTAGGGGAGGATGGGCTCGAGTGCTGGGGGCGAGAGGTGGATGGTGCGGCCAGCGGTGAGGGAGCAGCTAACTGGGGCGGCGGGCGAGGGATAGGGCAGGCAGGTGCGAGGAAGATAGAAGCTCCCAACACAAACGCATCTTATACAACCTGCTTGTATTATCTTATTATATATATACTCTTGATCTAAACTTTGGACCCCTTAGCCTACTCCTGAATTCTGAACTCTTTATATCCAGGTCCAGCATGGACTCTTTCTGCGTATTAATTCTGCTGAGCTAGACATTAGCAAGGCCGTTGACTTCCGCTATGCTGACTATCGAACCAGCTTTGATGATGAGCAGAAGTCAATGTACAACAGTAGCGACCTAGGGCTACAGCAGTACAGCCACACAGCCAACTCTGTTTGACAAATTCCAATCAGGTCGCACCTGTGCTCCATCCAACCGAATCACTTTCAGCTGGTCGCCGAGCAGCTCGACCCTCTCCTTTGTTTAACCAATCCATCTCAATCTCAATCGAGAAGTAAAGCCAACGCAAAAATCCAACAAGTGCCGCGCCGCTAGATTCCAAACCGCGGCAACCCAACGCTCTTCGGCCGCTGAACCAGATGCCGGTTTTGTTCGCGCCAACCAGAGTTCACGCAGCACATAGCAAAGAGCTGAGGTCAACGTTCCTCAATCGCCTACGCCAGACACGCCGTGCCGTGCACTCCTACGCTTCATGGTCGCATCCGCGCGTGCCCGCGCGCCGTCGCCACACAAATGTCTCCGCTCCCGCCCGCTCTGCCGCGCTCGCTCGCGTTCCTGGGCTTGGTTCTGATCCTCTTGCCCGCCCGCGCCGCGGACGCTGGGCCGCTGGCGACGGAGCTCCTGCGACCTCCCTTCACCGCCTCTAACATCCTGTACGTCGACACCGGCGGAGCGTTCCTAGAGTCCAAGAGCGGCGCGTTCAAGGCCGCCGTGCTGAACCCCGGGCAGGGGCAGCAGCAGGACCGGTTCTACCTCGTCGTCCTGCACGCCCCGTCCGCCACGCTGGTCTGGTCGGGCAACCGCGACGCGCCGACGACGTCGTCGGGATCGGTGAAGCTCACTTCGCAGGGGTTCACGGTGTCGAACCCCGATGGAACGGTGCTGTGGTCGACGCCGTCGCAGCTGCGCTCGCCCGTCGTGGCGCTGCGGCTGCAGGACAGCGGGAACCTGCAGCTGCTGGACGCCGGGAATGCGTCGCTGTGGCAGTCGTTCGATAACGCCACCGACACGCTGCTCCCGGGGCAGCAGCTGCGCGCCGGCGCCTACCTGTCGGCGGCGAGGAGCGCCACCGATCTCGCGGAGGGGAACTACCAGCTCGGCGTGACGACCGCGGATTTGGTGTTGACGTGGCAGGCGTCCACGTACTGGCGGCTGTCGAACGATGTCCGCTCCTACAAGGATCGCAACGTCGCGGTGGCGTCCGTGTTGGTGAACGCGTCGGGCTTGTTCGCCGTTGCTGCCGACGGCGGCCTCGTGTTCCGCATGGACCTCGGGGAGGTGGCGTTCCCCGTGCTGAAGCTGGGAAACGACGGCCGACTGCGCATCACGAGCTATCCGCTGGTGAACTCCTCGGCGTCGCTTGGAAGAGACTTCGTGGCGCCGGACAACGACTGCGACCTCCCGCTTCAGTGCCCGCCCCTCGGGCTCTGCTCCACGGCGGGCAACAGCTCGACCTGCACCTGCCCGCCGCTCTTCGCCGCCTCATCGACGACCCCCGGCGCGTGCACTCCGGGGGACGGCTCGGCGCTCGCGTCGCCGGCCTTGTGCCAGAGCAGCAACAGCACCGTGTCCCCGGCTTACCACGCCCTCAAGTCGCAGGCGGCCTACTTCGCCACGAAGTTTGATCCGCCAATCAAGACCGGCGTCAACCACAACGCGTGCCGCGGCCTCTGCTCCACGAGCTGCGGCTGCCTCTCCTACTTCTACGACAACTCCTCCCTAAGTTGCTACCTGATCCAAGGAAAGCAGCTCGGCTCGCTATATTTTAGCTCTTCTGCTTCAGCCTTGGGATACATCAAGACGGTCCCTTTGGCGAACAATGCTACAAGAAGCAATTCAAGCTCGTCGTCGGCGAACCGTGTCGTCCCAATCGTCCTGCCATCCATCGCAGCGTTCCTACTACTCGCCGTGATCGCATGTTACGCGTGCTGGAGGAGAATGAGGATGAACGGCAAGAAAAAGAAGGGCAAGAGCACCGGCGTCAAGAAGGTGTACATGGGCCGTCAAAAGGACACCGGTAACGCGGACGCGGACGACGACGAGGAAGATGACAACGTCGTCGTACCGGGCATGCCGACGCGGTTTAGCTACATGGAGATTGCGGCGATGACCGCCAACTTCGGGACGAAAATCGGCTCCGGCGGGTTCGGCACTGTGTACAAAGGGGAACTCCCCGGCGTCGAGGGGCTCGTCGCGGTGAAGAAGCTGGAGGCCGTCGGCGTGCAGGCCAAGCGGGAGTTCTGCACTGAGATCACGGTCATCGCCAACATCCGGCACGTCAATCTCGTGCGCCTCCGCGGTTTCTGCGCGGAGGGCTCGCGCCGGCTGCTCGTCTACGAGTACATGAACCGCGGCTCGCTTGACCGGTCGCTGTTCGGGCGCACGGGGCCAGTTCTGGAGTGGGGGGAGCGCATGGAGGTGGCGCTCGGCGCGGCTCGCGGCCTCGCGTACCTGCACACCGGGTGCGACCAGAAGATCGTGCACTGCGACGTGAAGCCGGAGAACATCCTGCTGGCCGACGGCGGGCAGGTTAAGATCTCTGATTTCGGCCTTGCCAAGCTGATGTCGCCGGAGCAGTCGGCACTGTTCACCACCATGCGCGGCACCCGCGGGTACCTGGCCCCGGAGTGGCTCAGCAACGCCGCCATCTCGGACCGCGCTGACGTGTACAGTTTCGGTATGGTGCTGCTGGAGCTGATACACGGGAGGAAGAACAGGGGTGAGCAGACCAACGACAACGTCGCCGTCGCCGTCCCTGTCGCCGGCAGCAGCGTGCAGTCGGACTGTCCGTCCGGGTGGAGCAGCGCGACGGCTGCGTCTTCGCCGAGTGGCGCCAGCGGCAGTGGCGATGAGTACTTCCCGATGGTGGCCATGGAGCTCCACGAGCAGGGAAGGCACCTGGACCTGGTGGACCCGAGGCTGGAGGGCCGCGTGGACGAGGCCGAGGCGGCGCGTGCCGTGCGCATCGCCCTGTGCTGCCTGCACCAGGACCCCGCCCAGCGGCCGAGCATGGCCGCCGTGGTGCGGATGCTGGAAGGCACCGTGGCACCTCCGGAGCCGCGCGTGGAGGCGCTCGGTTTCCTCCGCCTGTACGGGAGGGGCCACGCCGTGCCGAACACATCCCTGATCGCCATGGCTGGCACCTCGGGCTCCGCGGGCACGCCATCATCGACGGCCGGCGTTGACTGACACGTTGCAGAGCATGTCAGCGCTAAGATAGCACCACAAGATTCAGCCCCTGCGACGTGGCAGCTGGTAAACATCAAA